AGGTTATTTAATATATATTTTAATTTGGCTTTTAGATATTTATTGTATAGCTCTGTTTTTACTTACCTGTAAGCCGCCCTGAGTCCCTCGGGAGAAGGGCGGGGTATAAATTAAAGTAATAATAATAATAATAATAATAATAATAATAATAATAATAATAATAATAATAATAATAATAATAATAATAATAATAATAATACAAACATACACTCATAAATATTTCTGAAATATTGATTCGTTCTGAATGTCTGTGGAGATTCTCAGTCATCCAGGTCACAGTTCTGAAGAAAAAGAATGTCACTACTTTTTTCAATTTTCCATTTTATTATGGTGGGTCGCAGAGTTAGCCAGATGATTAGACTTGATTTGGCATTTTTGTCCACCTATCAAGTCTTTGCCAAGGACATGGGATAGGCAGATGTTGTTATTTAATAATATTTAAGGAATTGGATATAAAGCTGCCTTTTGCAATTGACATGGTGATTTTGTCAATGGTGATGTTGTTCAAGTGGTGCTCTAGATTTTTTGGGAATTCACCCAAGGTATCTATTACGATTGGTACTATCTTTACTTTATTTTTATGTTTTTATTAATAAAGACCTTGTTTAAGATCCATTGTAAAATTCACAACATAATAACACATGATCCATGGGTTCAAGGTCAATTACAGGGATAAAATCTTTGAGACACGGGAATCTTTTGAAAGTTACAATATAACATGTTTGACAATAAGACAGAAGCTATTGTACATTTCTTTAAATCTAAACTGCTATAGTATATAGGGAGCCAAAAGGTATAATTGAAATTGCTTCTAAAGGTCAAGGCTGAACATGGAACTTTGATGTTTCCCATTAACTCCTGCACTGAGTTGTCAAATAATATTTGTGTATTACAATAAAATTTCAGTGTCATGCTCTGGAAAACAAAGAATCAAGATTAATACCAGTTTGATCAATCTTTTGGGGCACCAGTTTGAACTACATATCTACATAAAAATAATTTGGGATGTCAGGTAGCAATTGTTCTTTGTTTTTGAAAAACTATCATGGAAACCAAAATATAATTGTACTTTGCCAGCCTTTTATTTTCACAGGGCATGGCCCAATTTCTACAAGAATATCAGAATTGGGAACATAACTTGGAACCTTTAAAAGAACTCTTAAGAACCTGCAATTGGGTTATGTTATTGTTGGCAACAGTAATCCAAACTGAAGTTCCATAGAAGATTTAAGATGAGATTTTTGTGGATTAAAAACATGTATTGCTACAGTAAAATAAAATCTCTACTGCCACGCCACCCCTTTTTATTAAAGTATCAAAGCAAAACTATGACTGAGCATGACTGAATAAAGATCCAGTTAACTAACATTCTTGACTTATCATATGATGTTGAATTTTCCTGCTATACTTTTTGTTTTGTTTTTAATCAAAAACCAAAAATCTAGTTTTATCATACTTGATTATCTTGCCAATATTTGACT